CCCTTTAAGCACAGCCCTCGGCTAGCCTGAGACAGCATCTCCACGCTCTAAGTCCTCCTCTGATGCCCTGCCGGCACTGCTTCCGGCCATCCTTAAGCCCTGTTCAGGGTCCACTTAATGTGGACATGCTAGTTCGAATTAGCAAAACGCTAATTCGAACTAGTTTTTAGTTCTAGACGTGTTAGTTCGAATTAGCTTAGTTCGAATTAACTAATTCTAACTAAGTTAGTTCGAATTAGCGCTGTAGTGTAGACATACCCTTAGACTCTCTATGTGTGGTCATTTCTTTTACTAGCTTTTATAAAGTGTCCCTGTTTCTCAGGGCTGGGAAGGATACCTGCACTAAAGAGGGGTGATGCTTAGCTCCATATGAGCACTGCAATAGCACAATGGGGTCCTGATTTACACCAGAGTTCCCAGGTGGTGCTGTGATTGATAATTTTGCTTCCTTCAGCGACTGTAGTGCCATTAGAATTGCTGCTAGCGTCACAGAGCGTTGATATGGCTTATTCGGGGTGGCTCTTTCTGGAGCTTTGATTCCAGCAGCACTGGCAGGGCGTGCAACTTATCCATGCAGCATACCACAGGGTTGCCGCTAAGAAAGACCCAGGCTTCATTCAGAGGCTAAGGCACTTGGCCAGGTTTATTGTGAAAGGAGCAGGGTGTTAGTGTCCCAGCTCCTCAGGCACAGGTATAGTGAGACTTGTCTCAACCCAATAATGGTACCAGCTCAGTCAGCAGCTAGAACACTGCCCCTCAGCCAGTATCAACATGCCCCTCCTGTGACTTTTCCCCTCCTCTCACATTGACGCAAACAAAATGCATATTGTGTTCCATGTGTTTCTACCCCCTTTGGCCTTCTGCCTGTTTGTTTGAATAAAACATCCATATCCATTATCCCCTCATCCTGTTCATGTGCACAAGGGTCAGTGAGGTATTTGTTATGACTGTGTGTTTGCAGTTACTGCAGAGAGTGTTGAGTTGATTGCCCTCCTGCTGCTCAGGAATGTGATTTCTTGGTTAGGTGGTACCAGTGCTCCACCATTCTGCCAAAGTCTGGCTTGTTTTAGTTAAAAAATGGACATAAACAAGATAATCCTAGTCATCAGATCAGAATTTTCCCATTGACTCGGCACACAGCACACTTCGCACAAGCTTTCTTGCGATTGTGTAACAGTGGTAGCACAATGATCTCCATGGTCACATCACAGGTGGCTGTTCTGAACACTAAATTCAGGTCCGAGAAGGGGTGGAGGCAAAGCTGAGGGGAAGGCGCTCACAAGGTGCAAATGTGGTAGATTCTGTGCCTTCCTGGAGCAGCCCCAAATCAAAGGCCAGGCCCGCCAGAAGAGGCAGACTGCCAGCAGCAGCCTTTGTGTGGTTTCCCAGAGTAGAACCAAGGCTACAGATGGGGAGCTGAGTAACAGCCACAAGCATCAGAGAAGCAGCACGGCCCAGCTCCACCCTGGCTTGTCGCTGGAGAAGCCTAGCGCCACCCTGGGCAGCCACGGGAACTTAGCTGCTCAAAAAACTTCCTCTGCCTCCTTCTGGCCCAAGTAGAACATCTGAGCCAAAGAGCAGGGGGAGCCCAGCCACCCAGCCAGGAGCTTTGTGGACAGAGCCTTGGGGAGCTAGAGCTAGTCCTTCCTCTCCCAAGTCCTAGTGACCTGGCATGTGGCCGCTACAGTCTGAGCCCTGTCTGGGGGCCTTGGTGTCAGACCTGCCAGCCCTCCCTAGAGCTCCCCTTCTGAGCAGTGTGTTCCTGTCCTGCTCTGAGATACTAGGGATGGGGGGGATGGAATGGGCTTTG